ATATTGTGTGTAAAGCCTTGCGCACAATAGAGAAAATATTAGGAATAAGAATAAATATTAAATATTAGAAGTAGGAAATTGATGTTATTTTATTTCAAAACAAGAAAATGAAATGGATTAACGTATCATGAAGTAGGAAATAAGAATTAAAAATAATTAATCCATTCCGTTCCCTTGTTTGAAATAAAATAATTCCAAATTACTCTTTCTAATATTTAATATTTATTCTTATTCCTAATATTTTCTCTGTTGTGCGCAGGGCCTAAGAAATGGTAATGTCAAAATCTAAATAGAAAGTAACGGCTTCCACTTATACTTATGTATCAAAAGTTATTTTATCACAAATTTTTAACAAAATTTTTAACTGTACATATTTCAAGTTAATGAATATTGGCATTGACACTTCTTGCACCAAGCCACAGATATGTATTAAGAATCAAGTACTTCCCGGGTTTTTTATAGTACAGATTTTTTCATTTATTTAATTTCGGTTTTAAATATACATGCTGCTGGAAAATAGATGTTTTAGGTTTCTCAGATTCAATCATCTTCACAGGTATTATGGATTAAAATGGCTCAACTGGTGGTGAAATATGTGATGCAACGTTCAGCATACTTTGTCATATGTTATGCATGATCTTCATAAGACTGAAAAAATTACATTAAAAAATAATAATCATACATATAATTATAAATGTACAAAAATTATATATAAAAAACTCACAGCTGGTTATGGTTGATCATCTCGCAACGGATGTCAAATTGGATGTTGTGATTAAAATTCCAGTTGTGGCTGAAAAAAGTAAAAATAATTTATTTTCAATATTGTAAAAGCGCTTGTAATATATATACGCATATATGTTACATTGCAAAGTAACTCAATAAAAGACTCACCGGTGATCATCTATGAAAAATAAATCTTTATGTGAAGCCTGCATTGATAAAGCTCGAAACGTAGTAGAAAATTATTACTATTACAGAATATAAATTATAGTTTCAAATTACCTTATTATCATTATTACCCGACAGTCCATTGTCTCATCAACTTGGATCTCTTGAAGCCCTTTGTTTTATATTTTATTCAACTATACTTTCAATTGCACATTCAAACACACAGTTAACCGAATAAAATTATAGGTTAAATGTCTCCCGAAATTATTTCATAGAAAATGTCTTTAAGACATACGTATTATCTGGGATAGTAAATAAATTTGCAACAAAAAAGCACGTAAAGTTAAGTTTATATAGACTATATGTTAACTAAAAGGTCATTAAAAGTTCAAAACGCTCATTTATTTTGCTTTTTGCCGTATCTAAGAATCTTAGATTAATATTATTAATATTACTTATTGCCGTATTTAAGATCTATGTATATCGGCTTCTTTTCGTGAATTATCTGATAATTTAATCTGAAAGTCTGTAAAATATTTTAATTTCTCTTTACTCATTGATTTTAATTGACAAATATCTTTCAAAAACTGAAAAGTATTATTATCTCATTCTAAAGTCATTCCAAAGTTCAAAACGCTCATATTTTGCTTATTGCTGTATCTAAGAAGTTGAGCGCATGGCGGCATGGCGCCAGTAACAGCGATGATTTCTATTGATGTGGGTACTATACATATTTATGCCGATAGTCGGCAATAGACAAGAATATCACGATTGTAAGCATTTTCAATCTAGGATTCATAAATAAAATAAACTAAATTATATTGATTTAATTTGTTTTTAATTTGGCAATTTATTTCTTTATTTATAAATTTACCGCCCCCTTTATTGTACCACTCGAGTGTTACCCCTTGCATTCTCGGGTTGACGCGGCTCTGCATATACATATAGCTTTATGATAGAATTCTGTGCAATCTGTAAGAATTATAAGAAAATCTAGAAGTTATTTTAATACTTATCTAGATAAATGAAAATATTACCATAACATTTATATTTCGAATTTTTTTTCTCTTGTTTTATATATGATTTACCTATAACTTTCACAAATTACATTGTATTCACTTATTAATTTGACATCGATTAATATGACAAATATATAGTGAAAAGTCTTGTGTTTGTTTTTATTCGGTAATTCTGATGTGACGCACAATAAATAAGGTAATTTATATTTTTAACATTTAATGTGAATTTTTTTGAGAGGTGGCAGCAGTATAGAGTTTGCACCGGGCAGCGAATATCCTTTGGCGCGCCCTTGTCTCTCGGACTTGTACGAGGAGCTTAATGCGATAAAGAAGATTCAAGCAAGTATTCGTTGAATGTTTTTCGCAATTGCAGAAAAAATCTCATTTCTTTTGCATCGAAATATCTACCAAAAACCCATGCATAATTGCGTCAAATAATGCTGTGTACAATTTGAATTACATATATCTTGTTGTCTTTATCTACATACATGCAGTGTTTTAACTTTTACAACTTGAAATTTCCCCATGTTTGTCAAATAATTGACAGCCGTGAATCGAACACAAATCTGTTGACTCATTTTTTTAGCTGTGTATACTTGTGTCAAATTGTGTCGTTGTAAGAAAGCATTCCCACACGGAACATAATATCCAATGGACGTCCATATAATCTCCATAACTCCATACTACATCTATCTCTACAATGGATATTAGATAGGTTTCTATTAGAAATCCATATTATTTCTATGATAAATGACGATATAAATCCATCATAAATGTCTATTAGACATCTGTTATCGATGTTTGATAGAAGTATCAGTATCCATAGTAACGAATATCGTTAGTGCATCGTCGATGTCAAACGTTTCGGCTGATCATTTAGCCATCTTCAGTGCTAACATTACAAATCTGTTTAGTAGAAAGATTGTAATTTCAATTTGTCATTAATAAAATTATTTGGAAGTAAAGTCACAAATGTGATTGCGAGATAGTCTTGTTTATGTAGGTGTTAACAGAATGTCACCACCCATACAGCACAAAACATCCTCAGGATATCCTCAGGACATCGAGGATATTTCGGTGTCCCAAGGATGTTCTGAGGATATCGAGATCTCCCCAAGATGTCCTAAGGATATGTAGGATATTTTGTGCTATGTAGGCATGTTCTCGACTGTCTCACAGTTCTCGACTGTCTCACAGTCGTGACATTCTGTTAACACCTACATAAACAAGACTATCTCGCAATCATATTTGTAACTTTACTTCCAAATAATTTTATTAATGACGAATTGAAACTACAATCCATCAAAGCTCTATAAAATATCTATGGAACATCTATGATTGCTCCATATGATATCTATGAATATATTTAATGGATGTCGAATGGAAGTATGTAATGCGGAACTGTGGATGTCTAGTAGACATCTATAGGAGATTACATAGACATCTAATAGAGGTTTCGAATCTCCATGATGGACATCTAGTGGATATCCATTAGAGGTTTTTGTTCCGTGTGGGTTGTATCGAACACAGTGTGACTTTGTGTCGTTTGTGTTCCTTGCTCGAAAACTACCTAAGTAATTTATCCGGAATTTTCTTTCAAAATGGGTTTTTTATTAATACACAGGATGAATCGCATAAGCGTACTCATTGAATATTTTGGGAAAGACGCATTATTTTGCTTCGAGACAAAAAATTATACTACATCGATACTGTAGATTACTATTTAGAGATAAAACTACTATGTAGATAAAACTATTTTCAACCTCCAAAAATTGTCCTTTTTTTAGGGAAGGTTTTATTTGGGGGGGGGGGGTGCTACTCCTATCACAGTATTTTCAAATAGAAAGGATAAAGGGTGTTTTAACTTAGGATTCAAATTCTACGCAAAAAATAAGACTTTTTTTACTTTTGTCATTTTGTTCAAATTTCCTCGAATTTTTTATTTATAGAGGGTTTTGTCAAATTTTGAGTTTCATAAAATGCAGTATAGCTTCGGCACTAATTGAGATAATTAAATTATGAAAAAAAGATTCGAAAAGTGCATGTCAAGAGCTTGCTAATGGTAAATCACATCGTCCAAAATGAGAAAGAAGTGTTTACTTTTGTAAAATCTTGACGGAAACAGATAGTGGCGTTTTCCTTAGTTAGCGAAATACATTGAAACTATGGCCTGATAATAGAAAAGAGTCTGATGTGACCAACTATTAGAAAGCTCTTGACATTACATATTCAAATCTTTCATATTTATATGCAAAATTGAGCTCATGTAATTCGATTCGAGTTGTTTTAACTAATTTTTTTTTTTAGTGTACTTGAGTGTAGTGTCGCAATGCTATTAGGTCGCTTGATTCGCATCCGTTCCTTTCCATTAATCACTTAAAAAATCAGCTTAGATTAAATTGTTTAAACGTAAATAACGAACATCTTGCTGCTGTGATAAAGAGTATAAAGAAACGTCACAAAATGTTTGTTATGTCATCACAGTGAAATATTTAAATAATCATCTAGAATCTAGAATAAAGCATATACTTCACTCAACAATGTCAAATATCTCATAAAATATTTATTTTTCAAGCACTTTACCCTAATACTTTTATAATATAGATTATTCAGAAAAATCCATTTATGCAAAAAATATATAATTCCATTAAAAAAAAAGCAACTGCACTTTTTTAGTATATCATTGCACTTACTAAAAAAATGAGATCAATAGATGAATTTTTCATGTTATGCAGTTTAACTTTTGCCTCTACCATTTTTTTCTATCTTACAAAGTGCTAAAACCCGGATCAATTTCGTGGAACACCCTATATAGCAATAAAATGCACAATTATGTTGCACTTTATTAGAGATAGTATTGTACGTTTAATATATAAATAAGTATGATAATAAATAACTGTATTGTGCTTTACTATAGTTAATATTAATATTTATTCTTACTTGGCGCCATTTTCTGATATCATATTTTTTGTAGGAAATAGATTTTTATATAACATATAACAATTTTTTCTAAAAAAAAATAATGTTTTTAAAAATGTTTATAAAAATTATATTAATTACGTAACTGTTTTTTTTGTATATTATCACTGACTAGAGATTGTGACAGATAGTTTGTGAAACTGGTTATTCTAATCCGTGTCATCCGACTCGCTGCTTGATGGGCCAAGAATGTTATTCTTGCCTTTTTCCGAATGCCAGGAACTTATGTGTCTCTCTAAATCTCTTCTCCTCACTAAAACTTTGTTGCATACATCGCACTTGTAAGGGCTATTATCTGTTGCGTGTAATCTAGAATGCTTGTTAAGATTGCTGGGATCCCCAAATCTGCGTCCGCAAATTTTGCAATACAGAGGCTTGTATCCGTTGTGAGTTCTAATGTGAATGCGCAGACCATACTTTCTCGAATAGATCTTGTTACAAAAAATGCATTTGTAACCCGCACTACATTTGCCTATATCGCTGGCGATTCTCTCTAGTTGCGCGAGATTCATTTCCTCCGAGTCTATTTCCAAGTTTCGCTTCGGATGCATATCGTTGGGCATCATGTGATTCCTGTGGCTCTTGTAGATTCTTGACATCGAACGGTTTATTAAATGATTTTCGACTGGCGGGTCACAAGCCGACGAACTCGATAAGATTCTTGGTAAAGAATGCGACGAGATTGAGGAGAAATTATTCAAGGATCGAGAGGATACTTGATTTGAAGATGACGAATCATTCCTCAATATCCGATTAGTGTCTAGATTATGTGATAGATAAGACGGAGTAATACCGATTGGGAATGTTATGCGTCTAGAAATAGATAGAGGATTCAAGTTAAACTCCAAGTTTCTTTCCAGGTAGTGACCAAAAGACAGGTTCATTTCTTCACTCGGAAGAATGACGATCTTACTCGCCAACAGCGTCCAAATACAACTGTTGTCTATTCGGCTGCAGTCTAAGGCTAAATGCAGCTTCAAAGGATTTGGATACTCGAAGCGACTATTGCAAATGTGACAAGTATAGACCGATCCTATAATCAATATAAAAAATTTGGTTTTAGGCTATTGATAAATATTTAATTCTTTAATAATGCATTTATTATTTTACTTTATCATAATACAACTTTTACTTTATCATAATGCACATTACTTAATGAAATTTATAATTATGCGTGTACTAAAATTAGAGTTTATTAAAATTATACGTACGTATTATTACGTATTGATTTACATTTGTTGAAAATGTTTTTTAATTAAGATGTGAAGTCTATTGGTAATCATTACTTAATTAAAATATTTGTAACCAAATAAGCTCTGATACTAATATAATAATTATAACATAATAATTATAATATTATAAAGTAATAAATGCATTATTTAAAAATAAAATATATATTTATTTTTAATAAGATGTATTTATATTCTTATACGTATTTAAGACACGCCATTGTAGGAAATGGGCTTATTATTAAATTATAAAAAATACATGATAATTTTTCAATTCGATTATGCGGTCCAATTATCCGCTTTAGAAATCACTTGTTCGTTCCTTTTCTATCAAATTTTTCTTGAATCATCGAATCGCTTGTTATTCAAATTTCTAAATAAAGGATTTACGTTTATATACAAAGATCGAACAAAAGACCGAACACAGTTTTGAATAATAAAAAATTATTAGTAGTTATAAAATTGTTAAAAAATAACATAAACTAATATTTGCTAACTGCAAAAAATATGTAAAAAATTATAAGTGATAAGTTTTTATCGTTGCGATCATGAGAAAAACTTTTCGAGAAAAGTTTAATAAATCAGATTCTTACCTTGAAAGTTGCAATTCAGCGGTGTAATAAAAGGTATGTTTAATCCGTGGAGAATGCAATCCGAAAACCACATCAATAATGGTTCCCCTGGTACTATGTTTCTTGTCGTCCTTAACATGACTCCGCCATTACTAATCGTAAGTAGAACATTGTAACTTTGACTGTCTCTCGCCAAAGTGATGATTTTCAGCCAATAGAATGTATTTTCCGGTTCGTTGGCGCAATAAAGTCGACCAGCAGTCTCAACAACATCAATAGCACTCTAGACGATTAATTAAGTTTTTAGTTAAAAGTAGAAAAATAAATTATTAGAAAATAGTGCACATTTTTAAATGCTTGTTGAAACTATTTTATTACAAATATTTTAAACGCGTAAATATTAGAATTAAGAGTTTACGAAAGCAAAAATTCAAACAAAAATTTTATCCTTTGAAATACAATTTTGATAAGTAAAATACATAGAAATTAAAATTTAATCTTGAATTGATTTATGAAAAATATTTATTAACAATTGATTTATGCAAAACAATTTTTTTATACAGAAAAATACCTCTTGATTACATACGGATTGAGTGAATGTGTTTCTTTGCAACAACTTATTAACATCAATAACGTCCGTTATAGAGTTTACACGAAGATACCCAGCAGCTCGAACAAGAGGTATGCTCATGGTAAAGTTGGGCCTTTCTGTTGTGGATAAATTATTATGTTCTTGGACTGAGCATCCTTGCAATGGACTTATCCTGTCGAGTCTATCATTCGAAGCTTGAGTTGCTAGCACTGCAGAATACATTATTGGAATGGTCACTTGTGCATTCACATCGAAAATTTATGTATGAAGTAATTTTTCTGCGTGATTCACTTTAAAATCTCTTTCACAATCTCTGATTTCTTTTCGGTCACTTAAAAACTTTAAGTAGATCGTTAGTTAAGATAGTTAATAATATTTTTTTTTTATCATTGATAGTACCAAAGTTACACTGCATACTTTTACAAGGTTTGAAAAGTATTACGTTATAAGCAAAAAATCTTATTAGTAGACAACATTAATGAACGTTAGTCATCAGGATAGTTACAGGATGAAGCTAAAATATCAACTAACTTCGTCGCGTATTTCGTACATGCTTCATAAATCTACTGGAGGTGGAGCTTCATTTTAGTCTGTAGCCACTATGAGGTCTCCGCCCTACTCTTTTCTACATTAGACATGTATATGTCCACACGTACATGATTGTATTTAAGAGCCGACAGGACCCTTCGGATGTTGTGAGTCATGTCGTTGGTGCATCCGTGCGGAGTAGGAGGAGTTAGTTAGTCGTAGTTTAGCAGCTGGGGATTTTTCACTTTTTACAACAGGTACCACTTTCTCGTTGCATTGCAATATGCTTTATCGGATTGTTGGTACTGTACATTGCTGATAAATGATAAATTTATAATTTATTAGCAATTTTGAACACACTATACATTACTACGAAAAACCAGCAGTAAACACTTTAAGTCTGTTATTAATATTGTTAGAATACTTGAGTGATAGCACTTTTGGGGTTTCGTAGAAAATTATATAAATATCTTTTGTTACTTAATAAAATTTAATAACAATTTTCAGAGTTAATGGCCCGCCGACTGACGAACGAGAATTCTCTCCGTGTCTCTTGCGTTCTCTCTGGGAATAATATTTGCTTTACAATTGTCTCGGACTGTAAGTACGATCATTTAGCATATCTTCGTGTCAAACTGACCTGAGAGTTAATGTTTTGAATACGCCGAAGTCTCGCTCGATCCAACCGTCCGACTTACAAGCAATAATTATGTATATATATTACAACATTTTGTTCCTACAATATTGTAATTCATTTCAATGGAATGTATACTGCATCTGGCACGCAAGGCGTAGTTTCTGCGATTTTGATGAAGATGCGAGGGTAATTCGCGCACTGACAAGAGCGGATCTTTAGTACATTCGATGGGGCTATAAAAGCCTCATGTGAAAGGACATTGTTTGGCTCAGCTGCGATCCACTACGCGTCTTTGCACTACGAGTGCGAGGGGCTGGCCGAAAGGTGCATCTGAATCAACGGTTGTTTAGAAAATTAAGTGGCTTATTCTTCTCTGCGGTCCGTGCATTGATCACATAGGTGCGATATCGTTCGGATTTACTTAATTGTCCGTCGATCTCGATGCACTCGGCGTACAATCAAGCGTTTATCCTGTCAATGCGTATCTTCTCTTTTTTTTTACATATATATCGCAGTTAAACGATCGAATATATGAATATATTCGAATTGCATATACTTCGAATTTTATGATTGAATTAAAAAATTTATGAGTTTTGTTAGAAAACAAAAATAAATTTATATTTATTTATAATATTAATTTTATTAAAATATTTTGTAAATTATGTTTGCGTAAACTGTTAAGCTTTCAAAGATGTAGTTTGCTGATCCAGAAACCAAAAGAGGGTATGATCTTTTCAGGCCGCAGACTTCGTCCATGGGTGACGTGATTCATCCGTGTGTATGATGTCGAAGCAGGGAATGACACGAGTGTTCACAACCCGCACCATTCTTTGCACCAACCCCTCTCTGGTCGCTGGAAACTCAAGCACAAGTGTTTCGCCGTTCTATCGTATTCCAAAATGTACGCGGCAAGTGTTCCAGCCCCTTGCACGGTTCATGAGTAATAAACAGAAGGAAGATTCGGGAATCTTTTCACAAACAGTAAAACGTGAAAAAAGAAAATTTATTAAATTTTCCAATATTGATATGATATTTATCAATTTATTAAGATCAGTATTTTAACGATAATAATTTAAAGATTATGCAATAATTATAATTAATTTGATGAGCAATTTCTTTTCTTAATAGAATGTTAGCGATGTTATATATCTGCCTGCTGTTTTTCTACCTGCCTTTCTTGCACGTTTGATAATAAATTTCGCCTGTGGTCCGCATCGCGTCGGAGGGGATTGCACCCTCCGGTCGTCTCTTTCTAAAATCAGCGCGCAATTCAGACAACCGCGGAGCCAGCAAGCGAGCAAGTGTTCCGCCGTGACCAATGGGCCCCTTGCACGCATGTGTGCACTTCCCAATGCGATATTAATATCGCGATTATCATCTACGTATTATTGCCGCACCCTCATGGATAGGATGCTCAAAATAAGCCTACGCGGAAGCACCCTCCGCGATCTTGTATTCACGTATCAAGCCGTACACCAAGCATCGGGTGTGACGATATACCAAGTGGCGCAAGTGCATCTCGATCTCGCATCGCAAAATGCGCACTAAACCTAATTGGCAAATTCTTTTCCATCTTCAAATATTATTCTTGTTACGTTGTAATCATTAGTTACCATAAATATAATTAAATTTTATGCAATCTAAATTCTTTATAGTATATATTACTATTAATTAATGTTATCAATAAAATATTAAATTTTATATAAAGATTACTCACAATCAGTAATATGTATATATTTTTGTATATGTTTTTCTTGATAAATATTTAAATATACAAAGATATTTTAAAGAATGTAGTAAACACTAAACAATAACATAACATCAATGTTATAATTTTTCACTCAACAACGTTACTGCAATATAACGTGTTTTGTACGTAACTATTATTTTGTTGAGTGAGAAATTATAACATTGATGTTATATTTCTGTTGATTAGTGTTTGCTGGGAATGTTATTTACTGCTTAATGTAGGTGTTTAATCGATATAATCGTACACTTTTTCCCCTCACTACTTTCTAGATTATATCGTTATTAATAATTAATTAAATAATAATATCATTAATAAGTTAATCGAGAAGAGTATTTTGCATACTTTTTGTTAAAAGTGCATAGTCACGGTATATGTATATCGAGTTTGGCATTGGTAGTCGTAGATGGCATGGACTTGGACCTTTTTATCGCGGAAAAACATAACCAATTTATGCGCCCCTTTATCAAAATTCTGAGTTAGGTCGCATTTGCGGGGAGGTGGCCATAAAAGTAATTCGTCTCGGTTCTGCAAGTGTCAAAAGCTTAATGTTGCCTCGACGAGACGGTGGCTTATGTATTATTAATATTCGTTTGCAAATTGCTCCCATCTGCCAATTGACTGGCAATTTATTGTTGATCTAACAATTTTACCAACAATTATTTTTTAGGATTTTTTTTATACGATTTTGTATTATTATTTATTTTCTTTTTTTTTGAGCTTATACGTCATATTTACTACATAAAAAATATTGGAACAATACTTATAATATTATTATTATTCTTTTATATATATATAGAATATATAATATTTATTAATAATAATTAATTTTGTATAATTTTTAATACAGGAATTGTTTAGACAAAAACTTGTATTACGATTTTATTCATTAATTGAACTTACTTTGTATGCTAATGTAGTTGCAATGTAATTCTAAAAAATTGCAAATATCTCTACTTTGCAAGTCATGTCAGAGAAGTCAAAATGCACTTCCGCAGTTCACGTGCCACATTGACATATTGTCCGTGTCCCACAGAAATGAGTGCTATGTAACACGACACGTGACCGCCGAACGCTTTATAGATATTCTTCATCCCCGATCACAAACCCCACGTTTAATGCAGTATTTAACCATTAGGAAATGTTTACTTGATTTTAAGAGTCAATTCAATCCACAACTGTCTGCGGGTAAATAATAAAATATAATATTCTCTTATTTTCATTTAAGTCACAAAAAAGCACAAATTTTTTTCTAGCATATAACATTTTTATTAGCATACAACATATGTATTTATTCTCTGTGAAATATAAAATTATGCAACAATCATGCAAATATTTATTTAAAAGTCATAAAATTAGATTAAGAGAAAAAAAGTATATTTTATTTGAAAGAACATCGATTTGATTTGATATTTTTGCAGAGAAAGTTCTAAAAGTTGCACGTGTCATATTCGCAGCGAGAAAAAAATCACGCAGAGATGCAGGTGACACGGCTCGCATGACAAAATAATGTCAAATCCCTCGCAGCATACCGGTCCTGGTGCATTGGACATCTTTTACTTCCTCGGCCCCCTCCGTGCGGTAGATTACCCCCTCCCTTCTCAAAAAACACGATTCACTTGGCACACAAGTTTTGTGCATATAATCCTCGGTATGAGAACGTAGCCCCCTGCTTAATTTAATCCAATACAATATGTTCCCTTCTCTCACCCCGCTCCCTCATCGTCGGGGTGAGTTAAAGAGGATAGGTGGCTTTTTAAAACTGTGTTGAATCTCAATTCAGCATGCAACCTCATCCTATTATGATCGATCTAATCCTGATTGGAACGGACAGGTTTTTTACTTTTGCGGTCTACCGGTGAGCTACGTCCATATCCGGGGTGTATCACAAAAATAATCTCTCTTTGGTGTCTCATGTTCAAATTGACCACACATGCGTACTGATTTAATAAAGAATATAATTAGAAATTTTTTTTTGACTAAATGTATATATGAAGTACTAAGTACTTTTAATTATTCTTGTCGAGACAATTAATACCTGCAATGTTTAATACCTCTTATCAAAGTCTTTGTTACCCTAAATAAATAACAGTAGATTATCTAGAAGCATATCCTGAAAGAAAGAAAAATAAATTTGTTCCACAGCTGTGTATACTTCTTAATGTAGACTTAACCGAACTTGCTCGTTTGCTTCATTGCTTTATTACTGGTGTTTTTGTACCGGTCAACAGTGAATCCCTAAATCAAATTATAATTTGTTCGTAATTAGTAAACGGAAATAATTTATAGTATAAATGAGAAAAATACATTTTAATTATCAAAAAAACTCTTATTATATTTTTATTTATTTAATATGTATTAGATTTGGATATATTTTTAAACAGGAGCTACATATAAATTACACACACTCTGGAACATAATTAATTCCTTGATCTGTCTGGAGAGCGTTGTGCAGCATCATGCAGGTCCAAATTTGTTTTAATCAGTCTGTACTGCAAACAGAAGCCATAAATTAACACGAATTAGACACATTACAAATAATAATATATTAATATTATTGTATAAGAAAAGAGTTTAAAATGTTTTACAGTAACATTGTATTAAAATTCTAGCGATTAAGAAATGTTTTTATTGCTGAAGAACATTTCGGGATAAATTATTTTGGTAAAAATTATTTTTTTTTAGTTTTTTTTATAACAAACTATTATAACTTAAAGAATCGATAATTAATATCTGATGGAACTTTCTCGTTCTTACTGTTTGAGATAGAGATCATGAGCGCTGCGATGATCTGTCATGGGGTGCAAGCGGAAGAGATTGATTTGTTGCACAGCTGTGTACACTGCTTAATGTAGAATCTACCGGGCTTGGGAATTGCTTTTGTGTTGGTTAAAGGTGAATCCCTAAATCCGAAAGCTAACTATGATTTCATAGTTCATTTTTTAGCTAAGATGGATCATTAACGCTCATTAATTGAAGATTATTATCGAATTGTAGATATTATAACACCTCTATTTATATTGTTGCGTCTCTGTATTTGACCTGGTGCTTGCGATTGTGTTTCGACTCTGTATTTCCGTGCCGCGATGTTACGCCGCTCGTTGCGATAAAAAGAAAATTATCTCCAGGACGACGCGAGAGATTTTTTGACAACTACGACAAGCAGATCAGATTGAGAGAAACTGTCAAGCTAGACGATCGTATATTTGACAGTACCGTTCTATTTTCTGTTACAAGTGTATTGCTTGTGTTTGTTCTTGTGTGCTTCTATTAAAGTTTTTGTTCTTTTAAAGAGAGTTTCTTATTTATTACGTGCTCTGCGAGAATCACGCACATTTGAGATAATTCGAAAACGATCTGCAGACGCAATATATCCTTTAAATGCATTCAGATTTACATTTAACTATTTTTTTTATCTTTATTTTTATCTTACTTATATCTTTATTTATGATTTTTATGTCGAATGTGCTCGTGCGCGCGTGTGTGCATGCGTGTTGTGTAAAATATCATTTCAAATATATTTACCACGCTAAATTGTTTCATAATTTTTCGTTGTAGATGATTTATAATTCATGAAATTGCTATCAGTTCCACCTTCTTCCAAATTGTCTTCACTTTCTCTTAATCTCTTGTCTGTCGAGGCATCATGTTCCTCACCAAACTGCCTATATGTTTGCGCGCGGTTCTCCAAAATTTCTCTAATAATTTCTAAAATTGTCATTTATAATTAGAATAGATTTGTATTTATCTATTGCCTACAGAGTTCCATTACATTTTATCTTACTCTAGCATTTCAAACAAAATCTCGAACATTTGATATATGTATTTGCTCGGAAATTCACGAATAGTTAGTTATAGAGATATTTTTGCCAACTAACTATTTATTTTTAGTTTGATATAATATTTACCCATTAACAATTCTCTGCTCTCAATCATATTACCCATTTCTTTTTTGATCTCCTTCATTAGCCAAGGCATGAAACCTTCTTCGACATCTGAAACACGTCGTCCACGGTATGTATTATCGAGGAAATAAAGAATAAAAGTAATAAAGGACGAACAAAAACACAAACAAAAACAAAACTTAAAATAAAATCAATAAATAAATAGAAATTAAAGAACTTTTATGATTAAAGAATTCAGAAAAAGTAGTCAGTGTTTCTTGCGAGCTCACAAACCAGCTTTAATTTCATCCAATAAATAGCCTGACATTTTCAAGCCCTCCAGAACTGCAGGTAAAAGTTCGGCAATGTATCCCGTTAACAATACCGCGGCCGCAACTCGTTCTTCGGTTTCCTGTTGAATTTTTATCGCCTCTTCTTGTTGTGCCAAATGTCGGTCCTATGAAACAGAAACGCTTTTCGCTTTTTAATTTTTAACGTGATATACGCTCTAGCATGTATAATAATGTAAAACAGAAGAAGAAGGGTACTTTAATAATGTATAATAATATAAAACAAAAGAAAAGGGTCAATGTGTTGAAATATAAAGAAATCAAAGAGGAAGATTACCTTCTCTTCTCTACGTCTTCTTTCTTCTTCCGCTAATCGTTGCTCTTCAGCTTTCTCAGCAGCGTGTAGTTCAAGAAACCTTCTCTGTTGCTCTTTGAGAGCAGCAATTTCTTCTTCTTCTAAGACCTCGATTAGAGCTTGCTCGATAGTTTTACCCACCAACAACTCAAGAATCGGTTGAACTTCGGTGTCGAAATCGAAGAGCTAAAAATTGCACGATAATTGAATTTGCTTTATGACAAAAATGGATCTATTGTAAAAATGAGATATTAAATGCATGTACTTCTCCGGGTTCAATTTGAGTGCCGATGTCTCGACCAACTTTGTCCGGAAGATATTTTGAAATTACCGGTTTCTCTAAGAAGTAATCAGTTTGCGTAGCTACTTCAGATTCATCTGGTTTTTCGGCCAACTTGAATATATATAATACAATTAAACTTTTAATTTCACTTCTTTCTATTTTTTTAAAATTTATTTTTGTTTTTTTGCTGAAGCTTACGGGTATACAAAATATTACCTTTTACTTCACAAATTATAATGTAATTAATATAATGTAATGTATATAATGTAATTAATTAATATTTGATAAATATAATGAAAGTTGCAATTAAAAATAAAATTGTAAGCTTTTCCGTGTACTTCAAGATTACTTCATGCTCAATTTATCATAAGTAAAAAATATTAAATTATTATTATAATAGATATAAAAATAAAACTTGTAACTAACCTCCTCAAGAAAGATTTCTGTTTGTACCGGTTCATGTTTCCTTCCAGGAACCGGAGGAGGCGAATCCGCTCTTATGCCAAGCGTTCTGCAAGCTTGCATTTGAGCACGTTTTCTCGCCACATGTCTTCGTCTAGCTTCCGCTTGCCTCGCTGCTATCGATTGTTCCCCATCGATCTAAATAAATAAAAATTTTACGAAAAAAGAAACATATATTTTATACTTTAATTTAAAGATTTAGGATTTAATAAATTTTACTTAAAGATTAGTGAAATAAAATAATTAATAGAATACTTACAAGAGCAGGAATGGAAGCAAACATACTTCCGCGAGCCACACGACGATCAAACATGATGTTCCCGAAAGAAACTCGTTGATCACTGCAAAATAAAAATCAATTTATTGCAAAACTAATTTTGTAATCACGCAAATTCAAGAAAAAGCTCAGCTGATTCAACATGCTGAGTAACAATCATTGCGAGACTCGTCGCTCTTGGGCAAACATCAGCAAACTTTTTGTAATAATATATTTCTTTTAAATTATAATATGTATATATGCATAACATATATATAATGCAAAGTTATATAATTATTTTAATAACTCAATTTTTAAAAAGCTATCTAAATTTAAATTGCATTAGTTTATTTTATGTTATCTTGGGAGAAATATACTTTCCCGCTCAAATAATCGAATTTCTTTCACGAAAATGTTAAAAACTCTTAGATTTTTATTACATATTATTAAAAATTTTATATTTAGGTTTTTATAGATATTTATTATCGATAAACAAAATTTATTTTTTATCGATAAAAGAGTACATTTTTATATTATTTATCTTGTTGATTTTTTTATTTGCAAATCAAGATACCCGAGAAAAAATGGTATAATTGGTCAGATGTAAATATATATAATTAGTTATGAAAAGATCTGAATTTTATACGATCATATTAAATTACATATGTTATTAAATCTTTTCATAACTAATTATATATATTTACATCTGATCATATTACACCTATTTTTCTTCGGGTATAATAAATTATACAATAAATACTTTGCTTATTTGTCTATTAATTGTATATTTTATTTCAATTTTTTTATTACAGAATAAAACGACTTAAAAATAGTCACATACACAAAAATAATTCTAGACAGAAAAAAGTAAGAAAATAGTGTGTGCGCGCGCGCGCGTGTGTGTGTGTGTGTGTGTGTGTGTGTGTGTGTGTGTGTGTTTAAATAATCTGTTATTAAAAATTGTATTATATACCAGATACTTTTATCTACATTTAATGAAACATGTGTTTTCGCATATACAAGGCAAAGATCAAAACCAAATTTAGAAATTCCTAATAAAGTCGAATAGATAAAAAGAAGTTCATATAAACTTATGTCCGAAAATGCCAGTTATAAACGCTCAAAGATTTATGAACAGAATTATTCTCTATAACATCAGACGAAATCGCTGACTCAAAAACAAATAATTCTTAGTTATTGTTCACATGCCTTGATCTGTGTATGATTTATTTAAGTTCTGGAGCAGAAATCATGACTTCTGACAATTCCCTCAACGTTGAATCGGTCGCGGCGGACCAATCATTTGATTAGGTTACCAGATTTAACGCCACATAAAACGGTTAGTTTAAGAGAATCTGATTGAAACAGAAGACCAATTTTGGGAATGTATTAAAAATGCATTTGCTACTATTTTTAATACAGTAGGAATATTCTAAAGAGTTCGACAGTCATTACTTCGACAAATGGAAGCCTGCATTCTTATAGAAGGAAGAAGTTTCGAACATTTATTGTAACTATTGTAACAACTGATAAAATAACTTTTTAATAAAGCATTTTCAGGAATAAGTTTATATGAACTTTTTTTTCACCTACTCAATCTTATTAACACATTGTATAAGTTTGGTTCCGATCTTTGCGGATACATTTAGGTGAAATATACATATATAGGTACATTAACTAATTTATGTTATGATTCTTTGAAAGATTTATCTTAGGGTTAAATAAATAAATAATATATAAAGGGTAAGAATCATAATATATAAATTAGTTTAATTACATTTTATAACATTAATTAAAACATCGACGGAACAATGTTGTAACTAAAAGTTGAATTGAATTATCAAGTTATATTTATTTATATAACAACAGACTTTCAAAAATCTTGCCACTAAAAGAAAAAAGTAAAAATTATAATGTTATTGATTGAGAATAGATTCAATCAGGTCAAACACGATTTCCATTGAACAAATTCAAAAATGCACCAAAAGCGACGACGGTCTCCTAGAAAAGAATTTGAATGCGATCGCAAGCACGAGAATAAATCGGGCCGACGAGAAGAAAAAAGCGGAGCAAAAGCAACTGCTATTAACTAAAAGATCAGTGATCAGTGTCGTGCCACTTGTAAGGTGTTTTCGTTACCCGCGGAGTCTCGGCAGCATATTCATCATGCCCTCGATCGGTTCCAACTTTTTTGGTAAAGCTCGCGGCGCCTGTGGAAATCTGCTAGAAAAACAATTCCCGCTCTTCTTATACCTTTTCCTACTCTTAAAATGCCTTTCATCGTTTTTTATTCAAGCGCTTCAATTGAACTCATCATCAGTATTTCATGACTTTTAGGATAAAAACGCCTTTCGCGTTCTTAAAATCGACATATATATAAATTGCCGGCTAATCTTTGTCTGAACGATTGATTATATTTCAGCAACGTTTACGTTTACCTTAGACATAGAATTTTCAACGAGAAACATATGAAACAAACATAAGGTTGGGTACTGCGATTTGCATCTACAAAAAGGTCCGAGGTCGCACCATCGCTCTGCATGATGCGAAATAAATCCATGGAGTGGAAATAGAGGCGGATAGTAGCTTTAGGGTGTAAGATTAATAAATTTGAATGTGCTTAGTGCGGAAATAATTGAGTAAAAAGATATTAAAAGTAACATTTTTTCTTCTCATATAACATAATAATTTCAAAAATCTGTTAGATGTTTTGATATACATTTATATGCAAAGATTCTCCGCGGTTATCGGCGGTGTTTTTTATAAAGCCGCCTTTGGCGGCTATAAACCTATACTGTCACGAAACTGATACGCCAATTGAATAACGTCTCTAACGTGACTGTTGCTACGCCAGTTCAGCGTCACTTACGGTGCCTCGCTCTTCTTAAATCTCCTCGCTCGCTCGTCCAAAGCCGATGCGATGGTGGTGGCGTTCACCATGCCGAGAGAGAAGTCTACAGTGGCCTTGAGGGCGGTCGGGCATCTGGCATTGTGGCTATTGTGACGTACTTCCGGTCTTTTAAACAGTGTCACCAACGGTCTGAACCTGCTCTTCAAGAGACACCCATCGGCCGTCTCCTCGTCGTTTCCGCTAGGCGCTATGCCGAGCAGGGCCGCCACTTCCGGCGGCGGCATTAGAAATTCCCCGGTCTTTACGGTCGTGATGAACGGCTTCTTCTGCGGCGAGATCGATTTCTTGAGCAACTTGCGGCCTTGCTCGGCCTCGGCCTGCTCTTGAATCTTCTTCAATTTCGCATGTAGCACCTCGTTGAAATTCTCCGTCGATAAGATGATGCTAGGTTTGGCTGTAGATGGTCTTTCCTCAGAGTTTAAACTGTCCTGACTCTTGCTCTGATATTTCTTTCTCAGAGGATTGACTTGATTTGATTGTAAACTGGCCAAAACCAAGTGTTCATTAGACTTGCTGATCCTTTTGCAACTGCAGAAATTGTTCTTCATGTTCTCCAAATTTGTGAGTCGCAATGCGTTTATTTCGTCGTCTTCGTTAACGTGAAGAAGCGGTAAACTTGAATCCAGCCCATCCTTCTGTAGGATTGTGAAAGCTGGTGGATTTTTCGCTTCATGATCGAACAATCCCGTATCCGTCGACGGTGCCAGAGCCGAAATACCGGCCGGCATTCTTCTGATTTCTTCAAATGTTCGATTTTACAGGAAACATGATAGATCGGTCCAAGATAATTAAAATTGCACAGCTTGTTTATTCTTTTAAGCGCGGTTTTCCTTTAAAATTCCAAGATTAGTTTTTACTTGTGTGTTTTCTCTCGTTATACATTTATTTTACGCAGATAGAGATAATACATATACTTTGAAAATCTCAAAAAAAATTTATAATAATAATTTTTTAGTCTATTGATCTATTAATTTAGTCTATTGATAGCACAATTGATCATTTACATTAGTAAAATTGAAACACAAATGTGTTTGTAATTATTCTTTAATTATTCATCGATAAAATCACGGAAGTCTAGAGACAAAGCTCTTATTCTTTCTAATTTAATTGCGAGACATATAGTGATTTTGCAACATTTTTGCTATGACAAAATGTATATTTCTGTTAATCGTTAGAAAAAGTATGTAATAAAATATAAAGTTTTTATAAATTTGATTAACTGTTTGCGTGTAACGCAGCATGATTGCACTGTTCGCTTCATATGTAGAAAAGTGCCATCGCATCGTCCCAATAGACTCAATTGACGATGCACTCAGATTCTATGCTGTTAGTGTTACAACTTGAAGATGTTTTACTAAATCAAAAGTTTTTTTTTTATAATCTTTGTTATAACCCTTTTTTAAAAAGTAATTACTTTTTTTATGATTGTCGCAAGCATAAGAAAATAGCGCGATAGCGCTGCTTGGCATTTTTCGATATAACTTCAAACATGATGAAAAATTTTATGATGAGTAATTACATTATTGTCTAGATGTCATTCCGCTTGAAAATAATTTTTGTTTTTACTGTTCCTTGATCAACTTCAATTTTTCAGCATTTTTTGAAACACAGAAAAATGTATCTCGTGTTAATCATCATATTTTTATGATTATGAATAAATCAGGATTATTTTCACGTGTATACGTGGTACATAAAAGTTAGAGCTGCCTGAAGTTGTATCAACTGTAAATCGCTGTCGATCAGTTTACATTAATACATACTGTGCAAAACTGGCACCAAACTGGCGATTTTACCATCCGCGGAAGATCAGGGGAAGAAAACGTCGTTCACTGAGTACTGTCGCGGCATTACTGACCGGCTCGCAGAGGAGTTCAGAGACTGGACAATGTCCTTAGAATCGACCGATATAGACCGCAGTCGTGTTGCACGTATTTTTGCCCCGCAACCGGCCACTCAATAACGCTGACCACTGCGAACGTTGCGCATGCTTAAATCCACCGCGTGTAGAATACAGTTGAGACTTTGCCACCCGCCTAGAGAAATGGGGTTTCCAACCCTAGCAACACTTCAAGGTGAAACACATTTGATCGGTCTGGTCGGTGTTGCAAAAGTTCAACTTGGTTCTTATAGCCTGATCCGTGCTTTCGATACAAATTTAAATACGCAATTTTTTAATTTTAACATTAGAAGAATAAAATTTTACTTTTTAAATTTTCTAATTATAATTCTTTTAATTTTTGTATTTTTATTTTTATATTTTTTTAAATATTTTCTGTAAATTCCTTAAAGATGCATGTTTTATTGGGCCTAAAAAGGTTAAAGTTGATATCTCAAACAGTTTTGATATCTATTCTTTAAAAAGAATTCTTTTGAAGATGTGGTTAACTGTTTTGGTTTACAGAAGCAAGGAGGCGGCATGCCATAGTTGTTTACCAATGCAAGTATGCGCACGCGATAGGTAAGTAGATAGAAAATGAATTATAATGAGTCGAGCATTTTATTGGCATGCGGATTAAATGAATAGTTGCACATAAAATTCACACTTAATCAGATGATATGGATCATCCTAAACATATCCTGATATTCTGAGAAATGTCTCAAGACTTCTTAAACATCCAGGATGTTCCTAAAACGTTTTGTGTTATCTGCAACTTTTTTAATTCCTTTTAAAAGAAATATAATTTCTTCGTATTTTCTATATATATCGCAATCATCTGTAATGGTTTCGTGCGTTCCGCAAGTATGTTACATCTGATGACATTTTTGTATATCTAGTTATAAGATCTGTGTTTTTAATAAGTAAAATTAAAGTGAGTGGAGTTTTCTTGAATAAAATTCCGTAAAAATGGTCGTTTATACAAATTCCACATGAAATAACGTTAACTTTTATACAAAGATGCATAATTTTAATTCTAATAAATTCTATAAACTTCCTTCTAGTATTATATCTGGATGCGATGTTATATTATTACGAGTATATAAAGTTTTTAAACATATCTCACGAAAGTATCATTTTAGTAAATTGACCGTCGAGATCCAGAAAAGAGATAAGAGAAGTTTCACAAGCAAAAGTTTGTCGGTGAATAATTTTTTATTCTTGCATGAGTGTAATTACCTGATCGATTTACCCTCGAATAATACTGTAGATAATGCCTCGTGGTCATTACATTTCGTCAGTAGTAAATTACGGTACATATGTTAACGTTCGTTTGCAACTACTACAAATAGATTATTGTATATTTTTTGAAGAACTGTATTGAAAGAAACATTTGCTCCATTCTAACTGATAGCGTCAGGCAAATATAATAAATTATTAAAAAAAGATTAAGGGGTTATACACCACGCACCACACAGGGTTAGGTTAAATTTAATTAAACTTAGCCGCAGTGAATAAAAAATGTAAATTTTTACTGTATTTTCTATTAACATTAATCATTGCGGACGTCCTTGAAAAAATTCCTGTCCACTTTTTCTGTTTCACGTTTTGCGTGAAATATCGCGTGAGATTATACTTAAGACGCTGTTATTCGCTGTGTTAAGGAGAATGATAAAATAAGTAGAACACCCATGTGTGTGTGTGTGCGCACGAATTTATATACCATTTTAATTCTGGTCTACTCGAATAAATTAAAAAGCTTCATTTTTGATATAATTTCTTTTAATATAAAAAAAAATGCAATAATATGTCGGTTCCATCAATTTCTTAATCTTATAAATAATTGATATCATTATTTAGAACAACTTTGTATAGAAAGTCATTGTTAACTATTTCATACTCGATTGCTTCGTTCGAATATACGTGAAGCGTGCGTTTCTTTATTCTAATCAATATCACTCACAAGTTATTTTATTATGTAAGATGCAAAGAGCTTAATACTGAATATAGTTTGCGCAGCGGAGAAGTCAAGAAAAGTATTCTTCAACAAAGTTACTATTATGCCAATTTTATGAAATAGTAAATTATATAAGTGGTGGCTTTTGTGTAAGCTTTTTATTATGACATTTGTCATGTTCATATAAAGGATTTAGTCATCTATTGTTATATTGAATTATAGTTTACAGTGATAAGTTTACAGTGATTGTATAATTTTGTTTAACATTTCTTTAATATCTATAATTTATAACATAATAAAATATCATATTATTCAGTCAAAAATAGACCGATAATTAATTGTGTTTAAAACTAAATGTAAATATAACTTGTAAATGCAAATCTTTGAAAAATTTGTTTCTATAAAATTTAAAATTTTATTTATCATGAAAAGTAAGTTTTATGCTAATCTTTTATTAAAAATTTTAATAGCATCTGCTAGTATAAAAATGACTTCAAATCTTGAATTTAGATTACCGCATTCCTACTTTACAGCCTATTTTACAACATAAGTATCTCCCTTTCAAAATCGCGTGAAACTAATACATAGCATCACACTTTGTACTCTTTCGTGTATACGACAGTCTTCGATAAAATCAGCCGCTACTGCGGTCATTCCCTCATGTCGCTTATATGTATAAGTATAATAATCTATAGATTGCATTATTGATATGCTGTGCTTTTCTAGTTATTGATATTCTTTTCTTAGACCTAAAGTTTGGCCCCTGTAAGTTCCTCGAAATGGATGTGTCGTCAAAGTTTATTTTTAATTAGAAAAATTAGAAATAATTTATTTTTTTTAGGGTTGCCAGCTTATTTTACGTAAACTGAGAACTGCATTTATACAATGAAAAATTCTTCTGATTATTTTTTTTGCAAGATTAATATTTGAGATATAAAGGCTTAGTTTACACCGATTGTTTAGTACGCGTACCAAGTACTAAATCTGCTTCTTCGATAGGTATAAATCGTTTAGTGTAAAATCTACACCAATCAAAGAAGCAGATTTAATACTTGGTACGCGTACTAAACAATCGATATAAACTAAGCCAAAGAGATATAAAGACAAATCGATAAAAGACTACGCACGAGAAATAGGATGCGATTCTAATTTTAATACATATGTATAGCCCTTTTAAAGTTGAAAGTTCACATTTTCGCATAGCATAGCATAATGTTAAATATGTAAGATATGCTTTATGTGAAGAGGCAAACACAATCAGTATTTTCCACGTTGTATGCTTGCAAATGTTCGGAATTATTAATTCAGAGAGCGATTAGAGTATGCAGTTGTGCGAGGTCGTTAAACTAGATAGATTTGCATGGTTTGCAAGAATATCGTACACTTGTTGCATCGGCAATAACGTGCAATTATAAATGTAAAAACAGATCTTCTTTATTAATAACGCGAAAAATATATATCACAATATATTGGGTTGTCCTATAAATCCAACAATATTGGACAACATATAACTATATTAATATTATAGACTAATATTAAACCCAATATTATAGATAGCGTATAATTACACTTTTTGTGTCACATTACCGTTCCGAATGAACAACAATTTAAACTATGCGATAATTAAACTAAGTTTCGGATACACATTCAAACGGCTTAACTTGATTATGCAAACGTCCACAACTTTTCTTTGTGGAAACAAAAAGTTACAATTTTATCTCTAAAATTTGTCAAATTAATTTGCTGATGTTTGCCAAACATATTTTCAAATCTCATATAAGTTCTTAATTATATAAATAATATTATTATGTCATAACATTATGTATTAAATTGATTGTACTTACATAGGAGGATTTCTGTATTTTTTTTGAACGTGCAATATTGCTCTCGGACTCCTCACGAAAGTATAGATTTCTCTTCTCTCGCACGTATCGGAAGGTATATTGTAAGATTGCAATCCCCGATTGCACATTCGACATTGCTCTGTCGTTCTTGTAGCCATTGTCAATCTTGTTTGCACTATTTAATTGAATAGGAATTTTATTTTCGAAATTTCACACAATTCTAAGCTTTTGCTAAAAAGATACCCGTCTTCTCAGGATGAATCCTATTCATTACTAGGCTCTTTGTCTGTTGTTATAGAAACACAACTCTGAAATTGCTTTTATTGACATAGCAACCTTACACCTCTCCGTATCTAAGATACGAAACATCAATTTTATTATTCAAATTTACCTAACATGCGAATTAGATTCGAGTTGCTTTTTGTCAAAAAATTTTAAATTATTAAATTTCTTATTAAAATTATATATACAATTTTTTAGAGTTTTGTAATAATAACATTTTGTAATAATAATATTTTGTTTTTTTTTATAGATTTTTCTTTTATATATGACAGTAGTGTAATCTAGTGGTGCAAGATTAATTCAATAAATATTGAACATATTTTATTGATTAATAAATATAATATTATTATTATTATTAATTCGATAATATTATATATTACAAAATTGATATAATTTACAATTAGAAAAAGTTTATTGCTTTACTTTGGAAACAAATTTAGCTATGTTAGGAAAAGTCGGTCTCTATATAAAATTCTGTCCTATAACACAGTTCAGCAAAAAAAAAAAAAAAAAAAAAAAAATACAAAACTACGAGTTATCTCTTTTTATAGTTTTTATATATGTTCCACAAAAATTGGAAATATTCAGTAAATTATTCATATTTTTTAGTTCCATTTATAATCTACCTGCGGTGTAACAAACAATATTTAATTGTCAAAATCTTGTTAACCATAATATACACAAAAAATTTCTTTTGAGGGTTAAAAGTCTTAGTGATATATTTTATTAAAAAAAAAAAGAAACTTCTAACACGTCACATACTACAGTTATAACGTAGTAAAGTATGTCAAAATAACCCTTTTTTACTATTTTGACCTTGAATTTCTCAAAATTGATGTAATAGAGCATTTTTAAAAACCGGCATTATATTTA